GGATGTATTTCACCTAAATGGTTCCCTCCGCTGTGTCCTTAGTTACTGGGGTCTTCCAGTATCTAGTTTTGTTCATTAAAAGATTCCAAGGGTTTTTGCTAACCACTAAATTCATGCATGTAACTATTCCATCAGGAAACTAAAAATTATATTCCTATGTATCTAAATTACAGAGAAGTGCTTATACTGGGACTACCAAAGAGCCCTCATTTATTATAGACCAAGATGCTAGTGGTTTAGGTATTTACAGACAGAGTATTGGGGTCCCTGTCCCAAAACAAATATACAGTTATGTATTTACTGTACTATGTAGGAAGACAGCACACATTCAAATTTCTATCAGAATATTAAATAATGCAGAGCTGTTATGAAAGTTAACTGCTTCTTACCTTCTAAACTTATCAGTGAGTACCCTAAACTAGGAAAATTTAAATCAAACTGTCCATGATGTCTTGATAAAATCAGATCCATAAAAAATTAACAACTGTATTCAGACAATTTTATGCAACAGTTAGGCACTTTAAACCTGAGAATTATGGTATCCAATTGTGTAAAATACTCAGTGCATAGATAGAAGTGAAGGTGGCTCACCATCTGCTAATAAATGCAGAGCATATCACAGACTTGAATCTAAATTCATTTGAGTCAATTAGACATTTATCTTGCTGGGGTCCTGTTACCCCAGCTGACTTCCTGCCCCTGGGGCAGGGGGTTGAATTTGATGATCTTCCAAGGTCCCTTCCAGCTCTAATGTCTATGAAATCTATTAAATAAATTTTGCAATACTTGAATGGCTCCTGTATTAGGCATAACTGTAAACCTGAGTACAAGTTCCCTGTGAGCTGAAGAAAGTTCTGGTTCTAAAAGCTGCTTATTTGTATTTGTTGGTGTAACAGCGAACCCTAACCCTGTTACTAAGAGACAGGGTGGTCCCTTTAAATCCAGAACCTTCCAGTCACGGCCGGCCGGTCAAGTAGGGGTTAAGGCTCAGGCCCTGCCAGCTGGTCAGGTGACAGGAAGAGGAAGGCCAGGATCCTACAAATGGCAAGTGGAGAAGGCCAGAGGGGCAGCAGGGATGTGGACTCCCAATGACCACGGTGCCGTGGCTGCAGTCTCTGTCGGAAGACTATGCCATGCCCTGAGCCATCCTCATGATCATCTAAAGTAAGCAGGCATGTTGTCTCTCTTGTTTCTCTATTATCATTTTTCCATTATATGGCCTTAGAAGCCTATGTTTTGTGTTGAATGTTAAGACTGGTGGTTTGGGTGAGGCTATTTGGGGAAGTAGGAGGCCTCATGGGGGGCCCACTGCAGTGTGGGGACCCCAGCACCAGAGAGGATGCAGTATTTCGGGGTGAGCTGACCCCAGCGCCACAGGGGGCACAGGAGCCCTAGTGAGGTCTTTTTTTTGAGAGCTAGAGCCTGGGAGTCAAATCCTGCTTAGTGGGGTTTTTTGACTGACAGGTCTAGCTAGAGAGAAAAGGGGTAGGCCCACAGTGGCCAAGACCCCAACATAAAGAGGAATTTACAAATACCATCTGTGAGGCTTGGGCTGCAGCGTAGGGGAGGAACAGCCACAGATGGTGCCCCCTGGCATTGGGGCATAAAACAGGCAGCCTCCCACTTAATTAACAACAATTAATTAACAACAAGGCATGGCAGACAAGGAGGCAGGTGGTTGGCCCATAACAGGTGGGTGGAGCCACCAGTAGACAGACCCGAGCAGGCCCCCCCATTACAGTTGGCTATGTCTTCCATAAAAATTAATACCTTCAAATATCCTATGTACAAGTTTCCAATATTTTTCTCATTTTGGAAAATGATTACTTGTAATGCTAAAAATATGAACAGAACCCCCTTTTCTTCTGCTCTGGAGCTGTTTTAAAGTATTGGATGTTTTAAAAATCTTATTACTGGTTTGATATCACATCTACTTCAGACATGTATCATTTAGTTTAATATCTGATATTTTAAAGATGCTCAAATGTTAAGAGCAAAAACAGGTCACCAATCTCACAAGAGAAATACAATATTTTGGAGTAGAAAGGTGGGTAGAAGAGAGAAAAATTAAAAGAAAATAAGAAAGCATGAATCCGTGGCAGAAGTTATCTGTTCTTACCAATGCCTAAAGCGGTTTTATCATAACAAATGTTTTCATTTAAGCCCTGCAGCAAGCCTCAGACATCAAATGGTAACATAAGCACAAACCCCATGGAAGCACCACATGAAAAAGATCATTCTCTGAAGACACGGGTTGGGCAAGAAGCAATGTCCAATACAAATCTGATATACTAGAAACGTTGATCTACAGTGGCGTTGTGGTTATTACCCACATTGTGCATCTCTGAAGGCCAAGTGGTTACCAGTGCATTTGTTCTAATGCACAGAGAAACTGAATCGCTTGCCTAAAGTTTTTGTCAGAGCTGGGAACTGAATCAAGGACTCCTAAAATCCAAAGTAGTACCTCAAGCACTGAACTATCCTTTTTCTGGGTATTCTTTAGTACAATATGAGGTTTTTCTCCCTACCTCCTCCCCTGAGGACTTCAGAAGACATATTGGCAGAGAAAGAATACTAGGGCAAAGGCTTCTGGTTTATTGGATTGGGCTTTCCCTTGCAGATCTGTGCCAACACAGAACCCTGTTTTGATATGTGGGCTGTGAAGTAAAGAATAGGAGCTTCAGTGAGTCAGATTACCCAGCTCTTCACTGTCACTATTTAGCTTCAGCAATTGTAGACAGCAGACTGGAGATGGAGGAGGAGGGGAAAGTGATTGAAACCCATTTCCAGAAGTGTAGAAGAAGGGTAGAGCTAATGGAGATGACCAGGGCAAGGGCCCCACTATAATAATGCTGACCTGAGATGCAGAAGCATACTAGTGGCTCCCGTCACCTCAATCAGCCCAAAAGAAGGATAGATAGTAATGGGACAAATGGTCCAGAGCCCTGTCTTCCCTTCCAACACAGAACAGCAGCAGCTTTCCCTTCCCCCATCATCTAAATCAGTATAAGTTTTTGTGGAGCCAGGAGACCCTGCATCCCTTCTGTCAACTGCAAGCAATAGTACCCAGTAATCACAGAATCAATTGAATGCCCTTGGCCCAGATCCATTAAGTTCAGTTATTAATCCAGGTTCTGGTGTTCAGGTCATTATAGATATAATACTAAACAAAGGGCTGAATTAGGGATCCAAAACTCTCTTTAAGTTTCAGTCTGCTCCAGTCTGGAGCTCTGGAATAAGCACCTCTCTAATATTAGAAGTAGAATTGCCCAACTATTTTAATGCTGTTTAATACACGCATGATTGTTACACATGCATATCAGAGAAAGGAGTGGCTATATTTAGCAATTAGCCAAATATACCTCTTTTTCCAGTTGTAATTTTACTTTGCCTCAGAAGCAGGGATCTGAGTTTTCCATCTCCCTCAGAAAAATGTGGATTTTCTCCTTTAAAGTAAAAAGTCATGGATTTTCTCTTTTAAAGAAGAAAAATGTAGGAACCCCCCCTTGCAAGCTGGAAGAGTTATATCTTGTAAGGGGCTGCTTGGTGTTGAGGGGAGTGGGATGCAGGGGGTGCCAGTACATGTGTATGGGCACACATGCATGTGGTTGGGAATATAGCCAGGCAGTGGTGGACAGCAGTTCCCCCAGCTGTCTTCAGGTAAGTTGGGGGGGGGGTGCATAAGTGAAATGGAGGGGCAGATTGAGGTGGCCACGGTGAGACACTGTTGGCACCCTGAGCTGGGGGCACTGCTCATCCACAGTGGTGCACGGAGCTCAGGATCTGGGAGGCAGTGTGTGGCTGCAAGGCCGAGGTGCAGGAGTGGCACAGAGCTATAGGCGGCTCATCTAGGGGGCAGAGGGACTGGTTCCCTGCCACTGTGTGAACTCCCAGGGAGGGGTTCAGTGTCAGGCGACATGTTGGGGCGTATACCCCCCAGATTTGTGTGCAGGGCTGGGGAGGATGCAAGCTGCCTGCTGTAGGTCTCTGGGCTTCCTACATTGCTGCCCTCCCTTTGAGGGCTTCTGCAGCCCAGCGGGCAGGACATAGCACAGGGGGGTGGAACAGAGTGGAGAGAGTTGGTGCTGCTGCCACTGCCATCACCACTGGGAGTCCCGTGCCAGCTGTGCCACCGTGGCAAGGTGTCCACACTTGCCCAGAAGCAGGAGGGGAGGGGGCACAACTTTGTATCATCACTGACAGCTCTGCTTCTGCTAGTTAGGCATGGGCACCTTGCCATGGCGGTGCACTTGGCATGGGACTCCTGGTGGTGGTGGTAGCACCAAGCCTTCTCACCTGGCTCTGCCCATATGTGCCAAGTCCTACCTACTGGGCTGTGGACACACCCAGGGAAAGGGCAGCAGGGCAGGGAGCCCTAAGCCCAGCGGCAGGCAGCCCACATCTTCCCCCACCCCCCATAGGCTCCATTCAGCTCTGATCCAGCCATGCTGCCCATGGTGGGGAGGGGGCCGAGGATGCTGAGCTCTGCACTCTGCTCCAGACCTAGCAGTCACAGGTCCCATAGTACTAATAGCTGGGGGTCTCCTCCAGCAGGGCTGGGCGTGGGAGGCAGGGGGTTGTGGGTCAGGAGTAAAAGGGTTGGGGGGGGCTGAGACTTGGGAGTGAGAGGCAATGGCAGGGGAAGGGGCAAGGCACCAGCATATCAGGGCTGTTCAGCATTATGAAGCAGGTGGGGGGACAGCCACAGCCAGACCCATGTCCTGGTGAGTAAAGGGGGCAGTTTTTCCATTAGAAAAAAAATTAAACACCAAAAATAAATAGTTATTTAGAATTTATTTTATTATAATAATTGAGGCACTGGTAGGCTTCCAAAGTGCTGTAAAATTGTAGATAGATCAATAAAACATTATGTTTAACATATACATATACTTTACATACATACATTACATATACCTATATGTATAGTGGTGTTGCCTTTTAAATCGTGGAAAAACAGTTTTGGGGTTTTTTAATCAGAGAATTTAGAATTTTTTTAATCAGATAATTTAGTATTTTTAAACAGATAAGACCAGGATCCCTGCTCATAAGAAACAGGTGACACAAAATGCTTACCTGTTTTATCATACGCTAAAATTCCCCATCTTCACTGAGCAAACACACCTACTTTGGTGATAGCAAATTTGCGATCAGAGAATTGCCTGTAATGGTATTTCTGCAAAAAAACACATCAGTTAAAAGGTAACTTTTAAATATGTCTAAATTTCTTTAGCTTTATGGAAGAAAATAATATTTAATGTGATTGTTTTGGCTGTTTGCCTATTTCACTCCTAGTGTAGGGGCTTTGCACACATATGTGGCCCTCATACAACAATGAGTACTATTAGATGCCAGTTATTTCCCAAATGACAGAAGACATCATAGGTTTGGTTATATAAAATAAGCCATAAAAAAGAAAACTGCCATGAATAAGTGATGATTCAATATGGTCCACTGAGTTTCATTCCACTTTAATAAGGGCAGTGCTCTTGGATTGTGCATTTGTGGTTTGGCATAGCAGCCTTTGATAGCATCTCAGAAAGGCTTCCCTCTTCATCCTCCTCCACTTTCTTTCTTTCATGGTGCTGAGAGTCTAAATGTGTTATCGGAAAAGGAGAGTTTGTGTCCAATATGATTTTAACAAAATTGTGCAGAGAGGAACAATTTATCATAAGTATAGGTTCAGGGTTACATACGCAGCAAGCCAAATCCTCCTTCCACTCCACCACTTGAACAGTGCTTGAACCCTGTTGGTGTGACTCCCAATCTGCAATGGTATAACTGAAAGGAGAATCAGGCCTGGAGTGAGACTGTTGTCTGCTCCCAGCTGACTGCCGTATACTCTTTCAAGTAACCCCAAACCTCCAAAATTTGTGGGTGCATCTATGTCCTTTAAAAAGTATGCTGAACTCCTTGAATTTTAAAAAGGCTTTACTGGGGCAGCAGAGACAATGTAACTGTAGGGCAGGCTGCAGTTTCTAGTTATTTTATTTTTTATGTCCAAAGCCCCTCCCAAAAAGCTTCCAAAGAGCTCACTTCTAAGCCCACTCTCTCTACTTACAAGCAGTTCCAAGCAAGATGATGAAAAATTCCTGAAGCTGAACTCTATTTTCAATTTGTAGCCATTTTCAATTCTGCACAATGCACTTTTCCTGGATATAAGGAAGGCTACACATGGCAACACACCATTTGGGGACAGCCTGAACTTTTTTGGACTCACAGTTCAATATTCCAAGGGAAGTGGTGCTCGCTTCTACCCTGGGGGTCTTCAAAAGGGGGCTAGATAGACACCTTGCCAGGGTTGTTTGACCCCAGTACTCTTTCCTGCCCATGGCGGGGGGTCGGACTTGATGATCTGCTCAGGTCCCTTCCGACCCTACCCACTATGAAACTATTCCTGACAAGGGATACAGCAAACCCTGCTTCCAATTGTCATTAGTAAATCATTCTGAGTAAATAGCTTCTATTCCAGCCCCTATTTGGCTTATGTTTTTCCTTAAGTTCCCCAGACTTTGCAGTGCATGGCCTCTAGATCTGAAATACCTTTAGACTTAAGCAAGCTGCAGATGGTACAGTACGCGACCTTCCAGCTATTCTCAGGCTTAGAAATATTTCCTTTTTAAACCTAGACAAAGTAAAGCTATAATTTGGAATCATGCTGTACTTTTCCTGTTTGTTGAAATCTTAAGGAGTTCTGAAAAAGAGATTAGATTGAGACAGCAATTGGAATGGGATGGGATGGGATGGGATGGGATGGGATGGGATGGGGCGGGGGGAGGCAGGGAACAGAGAAGAAGTTCTACATGCCTTCATGATTACACCACCGCTGCTGCTGCTGCTGCAAATAATAAAATAATTCCAGGATCGTTTCCAGGTAACAGCTGAAAACAGAAACTAACTGCTAGAAACAATTGTATATATTTGAATAGTTAGTGTTTGTTCAGCACTTCAGACACACAAAGCACAATATAAATACTATTATTTTATAATAAAATGCTTGATGGAAAGAAATGATATCACTCAAGTTACAAATATAACAAACACTGACCCTTGCAGTGACTTGTATGGGCGTTAACTTTTGTTGGGCAGGTAAGCATGAATTCCCATGACTGTGTAGGCAAGCTAGTGACAAGATTTGGTTATCCATATGCAAAAGGCCTTCTCTGTTAAAGTACTCTATATAATTGCCAGCTATCACTTTTGAAAACATTGAATGCTACACATTCATTCCACTTATGCCATTATTCCTTCCTTCCTTTATTTGACAGTAAATTATTTTTATTAAAAAAACCAAACCAAACTAAAAACCTGTTTCTTCATGCATAGTGGGGAAAGAGTATTTTTAGAATACTTAACAGAAATGCACTAAAATTTTAGGAAGAGAGGCATCAGTAAGAGGTGCCTTTGGAACCTGTTTACTGATGCCAATGGACCTAAGCCTCCATAGCCTTTCAGTGAGAAAGGGACACCTCCACGCTGTTGTTTGAGCCTTTAAAACGTTTCTTCTTCACAAATGTGTAGAGACATCTCAGATGGAACATTTAAAATATAAAAACTTCTTTGACTTTGGGTTTCTAAACAAAAACAATTTATGTCCCTTCCCTCTGCCCCTTCCACAGCCCCTTTTTAAAGGGGAAGGAAATGGGGAAAGGATGATGAAAAAGTAGGGGGAAATGAACCTTTTTCCTGTTTAACAGTTAAAAATAAAATAAGTGGAGTAGGAAAAAGTAGGTTTTCCCCACACCTTCCCATTTTCCTTCACTTCAATAACCCCCAATTCAGCAAAAGTTGCAAAATAGTTGGAAAATGGAGAAAACACATTATTATGAAGAAAAACATATATTTTCAAATGAACTTTATTTTATGACAGGAACATTTTTCAATCAACATTTTAACCAAATCCGTTCTCAATATTATATCCTCATTGTACATTTAGAATTGCAGTAGTATTTAAAAGACCACAAATATATATGATAATATATACAGTGTGCCTATCAGCTATTGAGTCTTGCAATTCATATTCAGAACGTAATATATAAAATGCTGCTCTAATAAAGAATAGGATCTCAGATTCATGCTCTCTCTCTCTCCAAAGAGTCTTTTCAAGAGTCAGCTGTCTTATGAAATTGGTCCTAGGATTCCATATAGGAGAAATTATTTTCAAACTGGTTATGCTGTTAATTTTTTTAATGCAGAGGTCATTACAGCAGTTGCTCTCTTCAACTCAATTACAGAGGATGCTCTCTTCAACTCAAAACTAGCTGTTTACTAAAGGCCTGACTTATATAGTTAAACGTCTACTCTTCAAGTGGTTTGAGAGTCTCAAGATAGTCAGCTATTTTCCACTGATTATTCCTGCTGACTTAATGAACAAGCAGCACATGTATTATCAGTGGCATGAGAGTACTTCTGACTCAGGACTCTTACTTTTGGTTATTTAGAAGTGATAAATGTACCACTTATCACAGTGATGCACAAGTTTGTTGCCCACAGGGAACATAAGTCCCAGTGTTTAAATTGCTGTTACTTTCGACCATATTACTCCCCTCAGCCTTTTTTGCTGCCAGAAGCATTCTTTAGAAAGCTCTCTAGTTAGAATGGCAGGCACACTTTGTGGAACACAATGGAAAATACTCCTTGTCCCTACCCTAAAGAGCTTGCAATCTAGGTGGACAAAACTGAGGGCAATGCAGAAGAGGAAAGGCATACAATACAATGATTACATTACTTCACTATATTCCTCTCTGCTCTCCAAAATCATTTGCTCCCTTTCCTCATTTGCACCTGATCCAGCCCTCCCCACCTCCTCCATTACAGATCTTAGAATTTGGGACAGGCACAACAGGACATTATTAAAGAAAGAATATATTATTAGCTAATGAGAGCACACACTGCAAAATCCCAAATGTATCTGCTTCAAGGCTACATCTTCCTTGCTGGTACTTGTCCACCATTCTATTTCCCCCTTATTTTACTGTCTCATACGGGTCTCCTTCTAGTGAATTATTCTGAAATACTGTATTTCAGAATCTGAGATTTTTACATTGCCTTCAGTGACTTGATCAAGGGTTTTGATTCAGTCAACAGCAAGGCCCTCTGGAAGATCTTAAAGAGATTTGGATGTCTGCCAAAATTGGTTATCCCTGGAGGTAGGGTTGGGGAGAGTGGTCCCAATGGCAGCTTGGCAAGCAGCACCAGGAGTAGGAGGTGGACCAGGGACAGGAGAAGTGGCATGGAACACTCAGTGGGAGGATGGAAAGGCCCCCAATATATGCCAGCTCCCGTGGGTGGGGGTGGAGGAAGGGATTGGGACTGGGGCACCTGGAACTGAAAGTCAGGCCCATCCTGGACACTGCACTTCTCTTCAAATTAACCTCCTTCCCCCCCTTTCCTCCCATAACAAGCCTGGTGTTCACCCTGTGAATGCAGGCTCCTCAGCTGATAATGAGATAGCCCTAGCAAGTAACTAGAAGGCTCAGATCAAGTGGGGAGGAAGACATACGACCATACCAGATAATCACTAGGATGGTGGCTAGAAACAGAATCTAGGAACCCAAGCTGCTTCATCTGCCATGCAGGGTACTCATAGGGAAGCAGATCTGTGCCATGTGACCCTGCTCCTGCTGCAGGGGTATACTCCACCCACAGCAGAGATAGGCACCTGCCAACCGCAGTCTCAGAGCATGAGATAGAACCCTTGCATGGTTGAGAGTCATGTGGTCAGTGTCTCTACAGAGGGAGACTAGGATCTGTGGCACATGGGAAAGGAGGTTCAGGTCCCTCAGTGAAGTATGAGGAACCCATAGCCCTCAGTGTGGGGGTACCTCCCACACCACCGCCATCCCTGACTGAAACCATGCCAACCTCTCAGGGGTAAAAGAAGACAGGGATCACCCATTTGTCCAGCTTCTATATGGAAAGGTCCATGGTCATCACTCCCAAGTCTGGGACTTAGCATACTGAGTTGAATCACACCCCCACCCCTGCCTGTTCTGTCAATCCTCTCACCCCTCATCCCTGTTTCTGATCCTAACTGCCTTTCCAAGTTATTTCATCCCTTTATCCCCTGCCACATTTTCTGGTTTTCACCAATGTGAAGAGAGACCAATATCTCATATAGTAAATGTTCAGTGGGTTTTACTGAAGACAGTTATGTTTTGGCAACTAAGAATATGCAAAGTGAGCCATGTCTCTTCCCTGCACTACACTGTCTTGCATCCAGGTGTATGCCCTTCATGAGGAAGGTGTCTAGCCAGCCAGGGTTCTTGGTGACACAAGCACCTTACAGAGCTGGAGGAGCAGGAGCCACATGGGACAGGTCTCTTGTCTGAGGGACTTGGCCACTCGTTGATTCCACCCCTGAAGTCCTCAGGCCATATTAATTTGGGGAGCACCCCCAGCCTTCACAGGCCAAGAGGTATTTGGCCAGGGCTTCCTGGAACAGAACTCTCTGCCAGTTCAACTATCTGGAGCATGCATATTCTTTTGGGGGTGCACTGTGGCTGGCCCCCAAACACCATGTGTCCTTGGTGTGCTATCTCTGGTTAGAATGCCATGCCTCAGGGCCTTGCAAAAGATCTCCCTTCTGGTCTTGCAAATGTTGTGGGGGACCATGGTGGTGGTGATGAGCAGGGATCCTGGTTTTCTCAGATAAAAAAAAAAAATCTCCAGTTTTCAGATTGAATAAAGTAACCCCAAATACATATTCTTCCATGATTTAAATGAAATACCACTATATATAGATCTATATATTTGTGGTGTTTCATTTTAATCATGGAAAA